TTTCCTTGAGTCCATGCATGTAGCATTCTATATATGCTGAGAGAATAAGATATGCCAATGATGGATACATATCTCTTTTGGTTTTGTCTTTTTTCTATTTCAAACAAATCAACCGCAAGGATTGGAGCGATGCATTTGAAGAGGGTAAATTGATAAGAGTTTTAGTTTCCTTTTTATTGTTATTATACAAAATTGAGTAATGCCGAAGTAGTAATTTAGGGGGGAAAATTTAATTATAAGTTTTCTTTCTTAACTTATGTGACCATTTCTGACTTGTTATTTATAGAGATGTGGGCTGCAAAAGCTGATATATCTCGTGGAAGGCGATCCTAATTCGTTGGAAGCTGCAGAAAGCATCAAAACAGCGTAATCAGACAATTTATTGTATTTCTTGCTATTTTTGTATTAGTGTTGGCATATTTGTTCCTGTTCCACTTCTTATAATTGCATAAAGGTAACGTTGCACAGAGCATCTTTCAGCAAGAATGTTATATATCTCGTATTTAAATAACAGTTTGTGGGGGCTTTCAGATATTTTATTAAATTCTTGGATTTTTATCAATTTCATCATATTCTATGTTACACGGACATTGGCATGAACACATGTACATACATGGGTTTGGTATACAATACATTTGTAGAATTAGCATATGAGGTCAGAATTATTGTATGTTTTCTATCTATCTATCTATCTATCTATCTATCTACATGTATGTATGTTTGTACTTGTGAGACTAATGGGTGTGTCATATGTCATATGAGATGATTTTCTTATATAATGATGTGGTTACATCTCAGTCAAGTGTGCTTATGAGGGCTTTTCTCTTACCTTTCTTCACTTGGCTGAGATTTAGTGAATCACTTTCTATGAGAGAATCTTTTAATACGACAAGTATACCCATCATTCTTAGTGAGTATCCTTGTCATATGAGGGATTCTCTTATATACAATTAAGGACAGAGACAAACCAAATTATTAATAAAAAGGTTAGTTAATTATTTGTTTGAGTATTCAGTTATAGTCAATTCAATAGTTAATTTAACAGTAAACTAATAAATTTAGCATTCAGTGTATAAACGGATAGAGTTTTTGATTATTTGATTCGTTTGATTATTATGAGCATGTTTGGCAAATGGTCAAAGTGGTTATTAGCCACTTTGAGATACTCGGCTAGTGGCTTATTTTGGCTTATAATCCATCCGAAAATAAGCTATTGTGGCCTAGCTTATTTTCAATGTAGTGTAGGCCACAATTTTGACCAAGTAAATGACATATATATCCCTCATCATTTCAAAAAATTCCAAGCCATGTCCTTTTTGATGGATTATAAGCCATGCCTTTTTTGGTTATTTTGACAATAATATGAATTATAATGCACCGATTTGCCAAACAATTTACCATTGGAAATGAATTATAATCCACTAAATCTACCAAACACTATGTGTTAACCTATATGGATTTATAATCCACAGTTGGATTATAATCCAAGTGGATTGTAAATCCAAAAGCAAATGGTCAGAGTGTCTTATAAGCCATTTTTTTGGTTTATAATTTGCCGAACATACCCTAGTTTATTTTTTAGTGGATTATAAGCCATGAGGTTTAACCAAGTAAACAATAATAATACTCCTCATGGTTTTATAAAGTTCAAGGCTTCATTTAATACCTCATCACCAACCCAATATCCTTTTTGGTTATTTTGACAATACTAGTGGATTACAATCCACACATTTACCAAACACTACTATTAAAAATAGATTATAATCCACTAAATTTACCAAACACTCTAAATCCACATGGATTATAATCCAAAGTTGCCAAACATGCTCCAACTATTTGTTTATTAATATTTTTAGTTAATTTAATTTATTAAATGATAAATTTGTTATTTATTTAAAATATTTATTAGTTAATAGAATATTTCAATTGGATATCAGTTTTACCTAAGGAGTAAAATTAAAATGAAAGAAATAATTTGGAGGGCAATTTGAAAATCATACAATTTCGAGGGTGTATATGAGAAAAATTCTCAAAAACAAATAAAAGAAGACAATGTCAATCATAGGAATTGAACTCATGCACTCAAGTTTGGCAGCCATATATTGTACCAACTGAGCTACATAAATATTCCTGAATAGTAATCGAAGATATCATTATTTAAACAAATTGAATTTGAACACCAATTTGGTATTCGACTTAATTTCAAATTCACTAAATTTGAATTCACATAACCTAGTATTCAAATTGGTTCTTTTCCACCGATGTACAATAATGTGGCTCGATCAACCAGGTGAATAAAGGGGGAGAGAGAAACCCTCGTAGACACTTGGTTGAGATTGAGCCACATCATTGCATATGAAAGAATCCTCTCATATGAAATATGATACCCATTAACCTTTCTACACCCCTGCACACACGCTCAGACACACGTACGTGCATGCGCACACGTAAATGATACACATCAAAATGACATCTATGCAGGTGCGCAAGCACACATGACACTGATGAAAAATAGCATTTAGCAAGTTCTCTGGAATCCCAGATCAATAATGAGGTTAGCTCATCAAGTTCCACAGTATATCATAGTAGGAAGTACCATATTTGCATGATAACCAGTTCGTTTTGTTTACGGGATGAGAATGGGAGCTTAGCATGCCACTTATTAGGAATCGGGAGCGACTGGACGAAGGGTTGGGCTTGTACAGTGAAAGTGGTGCATTTTAGGTTCGGTTTTTAAATCTAGAAATTTGAGGTTTCTTGCAAGAGTCAAATTTAAGAAATATGCTAGTTGATATCAGTAGTGGTAAAAGAACATTGAGAATCATGTTGCAATTAAGTTGTGCATCTTTTATTTGCTTAATTTCTCACATTTTTATTGTTTATACTTTTGAATAAGAGCTATTTTTTAAAAGTTTTAACTGGTTTGAATTCTGAATGGAGTCGTCGGAGTTGGTGAATTGGGTCTTGTCCATTGTAATGGGGGACGATTGAACACGGCTTGCGGTTCGCTATGGCGTCCTATGTTCCCGACATCTATGAAAAGTACCCTAAAAAACGAGGTGGCAATGTAATATCTCTTCAAGGATTTATACTTATTGTATAACCGTTCTACAACCTAAACCATATAATTTTTCTTTATAAACCTTGTGCGCCTGTGTCTTGAACCTGAAACATCATAATTTGAGGTCAGACATGGTTAGTTGTGTCCAACATCGTGTCCGTGGCATGCGAGTGTCAACAGATGGTCTTTGTCATATATAGCAGATTTTTTGAGAGCCATAAAGAACTATCCTTGCCTCATAAATTTAGTCATATATAGCAGATTGTTTTGTAGTTGCTTCACTATAGAACTACTTGTGATGCCTATTTGTACACATTTTTAGAGGTCAAGACTGTTTTAGTTTCATGCAGGTTTCTAGTGAAGCAAAATTGTGTTTTTGGTTTGGGGAAGTTGAGGTTCTCAAATGTGGGACATTTTCTTTTCCTTGTGGAATTGCACATTGGCTTTATCGAGATATAGTTGGGCATGTCATGCATTGATTTATGAAAAACAGTTAACATCCATAAAGGATACCCCACAATAGGGCTGGAAATGAATCAAATCAAATAGGAAAGTATTTATATTTGCTTAAAATTTTTGGATTTGGATATGAATTTGAATATCCGTTTTCTAGAGTTTTCCGAATTTGAACTAGAATACTCGGTGTTTGGCAAATATTCGTGAATATTCACGAATATTCAAAACAATATTCATTTTGATAAAGAATTTGATTTTCAAATAGTATTTAAATTGATTATTGAAAGTAATTCCTTTATCATTGTGATGAATATATATTTAATTCGAATATGTCGTTAGAAAACTGATTTAAGACTCTTTTAAGTCTCTCACAATTAGTATATAAAATTTTAAGTAGATAATGTAAGTGGGTTGAAATATAACATCACGTGTGTATAATACATATTATAAGCGATCAAATTTTAAATGAATATTTGATAGTAACCGAATAGTTCCTTCAATAATTCATGAACTATTTGTTAATTATTTTGTTAGTTTCCACCCCTACGGTCCAGACAATGCATATGACCTGTTTTTGTAGTTGTTGGGAGTCTTACCTTAAGATGATCACATATATCTTTAGCACTTGAATTTCGTATTATTTTGTTTATGATTAAGGTGAGCTTTGCCTTCGTTTGGAATCTTAAGCAAGATTTCTTATACATAAACATGAATGTTCTTTCACTCATTGCTTCATGACAGATGGCCGACATTGCGTCAATACTTTGAAAAAGGAGACATACTCCAATCAGAAAACATATACTATGCTTTAACACTCCAATACTGATAGATACATTTCCGATGCACCTGTGATGTATTCCAAAATATGCAGTGTATCCTAGATGTATCAAAGACATTATCATTGAAAATTTGATGTCGAGAAGTTAAAATCAAATGTATGAATGGGGATCGATAATTGTATTTGTAATACATTGTACTTGTATAATATATCCGGTTTCTCAATATAAGATACTATTGTTGATCAACACATCCATTATAATTTTATAGTTATATCCATAATGTATCAGTAAACTAAATTATATGACTTGCTTTACCTATTTTGCCATATCCTACTGTATTCTTATTACTGCATTACATGTAAATGTATGCATGCATGTGTGTTGTTTGCGCGCGTGAGTGAGTGTGTGTGTGTGCGCGCACGCGGTTTGTTTACATCTCTGTGTGTGAGGGTCTGTATGTATATACTTATATATGTCGGATGTATGTAGGTACAGATTATATCTATATTAGTTTGTCACATCCATGCCAAATACATATCTAGATTCAAATTTGCTGTATCATGATGTCTGTACCCATATACATATCCCGTAATTGTGTTTATGTTTCAACTTTCAAGCATATAGCCATATATTCGCACGCGCACATTGAACAATATAGACTGATGTAGTTTGTATATGTTCGTGAAACAATGGGACATCCATTCTGTCCACCTAAGGTCCATCAATCTGGTTTGAGAATGAAACAGCTCTGACTCAGGATCTAATAGAAATAATCAACTTAAAGAGATATTTGTAGCCTATATGAGTGTATGATTGTAAGTTAATAATTTCGTCTTTAAGTTAATAAGAGGTTTTTTTATCTTCATTATTCTAACTTATGGATAGATGGATAATTGAGGTCCAAATCTTATGATGTGACAAGTAGGATGGGCCTCACCAAAATGAGGCGCTACCTCACAAGTCATAACCATCAAAGCTATACATATGTATATATATGCATGCATGAGAAAGAGATTTGAATTTCTTCTGGAAATTTTACTCTGAAAAGATGTATGTATACACGCAGAGACATTATGAGAACGGATAATGAAGCATTACTTGAAGCGCTCCATGCGCCTGGGTTATGTTTTTAAAAATTGATTTGATGATTAGTATGTTGTTCCTATGTAGCACGGACACGGATCCAACAAGGCCATCCGACACGCCGACACGAGGCAAATCCTAAAAAATACATAGGATACGTGTGTCCAACACATGCGTCTGACACGTACACGACACGACACGGCTTCACGTTATGCGTGTCCGTGCTTCATAGTGTTGTTCTTGTTTTATAGATGAGTATAAGTAAAAGACTAAGTTGAGAACATTTTTGGATGTATTATCTCAGAAAGAGCTTTTATCCTGCATGATTTATTTTCCTTGAGCAGTCATCATTGGCATTATGTCACCTTTTTTTAGGTCAGCTCTCTAAATGATAAATACATTCTTAGTGCAGTTGCTTCACAACTGAAATATTGGAAGGTTTCGACGTCCAAAGGACTAGTGGCTTTGCAGATACAGTGAGAAAATATGGTCATCTGACAAAATCAATAGCTCACTATTACAGCACATATTTTTCCAGTGAAAAAACTAGAACAAATGTGGTTTGCCCCAGCTACAGTGACTTTGTTAAGAAGTGCCAGGATCTTGAGAAGATGACTGTTACTGATGTATTTGCTCTACAACTAATGCAGGTGAAAACACAGTTTCATCTTAAACTTATCTATTATTTGCTTGCATTTGATGTATTGTCGCTATTATTAAATTATTTTTGCCTATTGATTCAATGGGAACATGATTCACATGCTATTGAAAATATCAGGTTCCTCAGGTAACAGAGGAGATTGCCCTTGCTGTTACAGATATGTATCCAACACTTCTCTCACTTGCTCGAGCATACTCTCGTCTTGTGAGTACCCTACCATTCAAACTTCGTTTTATGATATGCTCATCAATAAACTTGCATCTATCGCTTTGTCATATTTGAGCTATTCTTTGGTAGTATTTTGACAATTTAAGGCCCTCTATATTGGAATCCACCTTTTCATTTTTATCTTTATTTATGGTGCATTTGATAGGAGTAGTTGGAGTTATGTTTTGTTTCAACTACATGCAAATTTCAAAATACATGTTAGCCCAGATGTCGTTGCAACTCCAAACAGTTGTTGTAAAAGCAAAATGACTTAAAATAGGACAATGGCTGCTGCGATGAAATTTAAAAGATAATCCAACACCATGAGTCAGAATTACATATAAATGCCTTTGTTATGCTAATTATTTTTAACCAAAACACACCCTTAAATAAAACTTTTTCTGAAAACATTTCTGCTTATTGAAGGAGGGTGACATTCGCGCCCAGGAGGATATGCTGAAAAATCAATGTGAAGTTATAAGTTGGGGTGCTAGCAAGAACATCTACAAGCTGGTTTGGGGCTGCTGATAAATCTTCTGATTTTGAATTTGTAGATCTTCTTTACTCTGGAATCCAAGCATGTCATTGTCTCAATGACTGCTGTTATATTGTAAAATGTTGTGTATATGCCATTATTTCTAGCAAAATGTATTACGTAGCCTTTTCCAATTAATACGTTCTGGTTTTCCTGTTATGAATGTAAATGGTTATGTATTAGTTCACACAATTATCTGCTTTTGCTTTGTAAAACGGGATGGTCAGTGTTTTATCAGGATACATTGTGATATGGATAATTATAATTTACCATGTTTCCCCCTCAATAATATGCTTATAAGTTATTGAGTTTCACTTAATCAGGAGATAAGTTTGAAGGAAAAATAGTAGAAAAGGAACAAATAGTTAAAGAACACACTGATTAGTTTCAGAGAAAATATTCAGTAGATCTGTTCCATAAATTTAAAATGTATGACTATTAAGTAGCAACTGTTTGATCATTGAGACTTTAGGATTTGTGTATTGATCCAAGAAATGTCATCCTTTTAGTGCACATTTTATTTTACGGGCCGGTTGATGGAGTATTCTCTCTCTTTTTTAGCTGTTACGGTACACTGATTCTCCTTTGTTTTCCTTTTTATTTTGGGGAAAATGCTTCCAGCCCCCAAAAGCCAAGTGAACGTGCTTCCCACCCCCAAGACTTGGTCAATGGGTGTTTTACCCCTAAAAATAAAGATTTTGTTCTCTGAGCCCCCAAAACACAAAACCCAAGACATTAAAACATGTGAAGACCATAATACCATTCTCTCTCTCTTTCTTTTTTTATTAAAATATGATGAGGATTATTTTATTATTTCTCTCTCTCTCTCTCTCTCTCTCTCTCTTTATCATGATGTACCAAGAGGATAGTTGAAATGATTGATGAGGATTATTTTATTATTTTCGTTTTTTATTATTTTCGTTGTTTGTATTAGGAGGTTGTTAAAGTTACGGGTTGATTGTTAAGGTTACGGGTTGGTTGTTAAGGTTAAGGGTTTGTTGTTAAGGTTATGAATCCTCTCTCTCTCTCTCTCTCTCTCTCTCTTTTTATTAAAATATGATGGGAATTATTTTATTATTTTTCTTTTCTCTCTCTCTTTATCATGATGTACCAAGAGGATAGTTGAAATGATTGATAAAGATTATTTTATTATTTTCGTTTTTTATTATTTTGGTTGTTTGTATTGGGAGGTTGTTAAAGTTACGGGTTGATTGTTAAGGTTACGGGTTGGTTGTTAAGGTTAAGGGTTTGTTGTTAAGGTTATGAATCCCCTCTCTCTCTTTCTTTTTTTATTAAAATATGATGGAGATTATTTTATTATTTTTGTTTTCTCTCTCTCTTTATCATGATGTACCAAGAGGATAGTTGAAATGATTGATGAGGATTATTTTATTATTTTCGTTTTTATTATTTTGGTTGTTTGTATTGGGAGGTTGTTAAAGTTACGGGTTGATTGTTAAGGTTACGGGTTGGTTGTTAAGGTTAAGGGTTTGTTGTTAAGGTTATGAATCCCCTCTCTCTCTTTCTTTTTTTATTAAAATATGATGAGAATTATTTTATTATTTTTCTCTCTCTCTTTATCATGATGTACCAAGAGGATAGTTGAAATGATTGATGAGGATTATTTTATTATTTTCGTTTTTTATTATTTTGGTTGTTTGTATTGGGTGGTTGTAAAGGTTATGCATTGATTGTTAAGGTTACGGGTTGGTTGTTAAGGTTAAGGGTTTGTTGTTAAGGTTATGGGTTTGTTGTGTAGGTTACGGATTTGTTGTTAAGGTTACGGGTTTAATTGTTAAGGTTACGTGTTTAATTTTTAAGGTTACGGGTTTAATTGTTAAGGTTAATAAAAAACAAAAATAATAAAATAATCCTCATCAATCATTTCAACTATCCTCTTGGTACATCATGATAAAGAGAGAGAGAAAACAAAAATAATAAAATAATCCCCATCATATTTTAATAAAAAAAGAAAGAGAGAGAGAAGGGTATTATGGTCTTCACATGTTTTAATGTCTTGGGTTTTGTGTTTTGGGGGCTCAGAGAACAGATTCTTTATTTTTAGGGGTAAAACACCCATTGACCAAGTCCTGGGGGGTAGGAAGCATGTTCACTTGGCTTTTGGGGACTGAAAGCATTTTTCCCTAAATAATATTAGGTTTGAGAGTTTAGTAAAGAAACTTGAGAAGAATTATTTATGAGCCGTTAGATTTATGTCATGATGATTCAAAATATTTGACCTCTTTTGTAACCCAATTTCGAGGTTTTATCCTTTCTCGCCCCCTCCATCTTCAAACTTGAGGGGTGGCGGAAGGTTAATTAAATGGAGTGAGCTTTTTTATTTCTTTTCAACTCTCCTGCATTCACCGCCATCCAAACAGAGCATAACTCTAGGTTTTTTTTTTAGCTTTTTTAGCTCGTGAATGTCTTTTTTGCCTCATGAGTAAGTGGGACAAGATGTATACAAAATTACTAAAAATAGTCATAACTAAACAAATAGTAGCATAGTTTTCACTATAAGAAATAGTCATAACTAGAAGAGATAGCTAGTGGCGTAGTTTTAAAAAAGCTATCTAGAGAAGTCATAACTAAAACAAGTAGTAGCATAGTTTTAAAAAGCTAGTTGAGCGCTCCCATCTAAATCTAGTCGGTATTTTGGTCACCCGCCTAAGTCTTGAAAGCATCTTAGAATATATGCATTTCAACTATCATCTCAGTACATCATGATAAAGAGAGAGAGAAAAAAATAATAAAATAATCCTCATCATATTTTAATTAAAAAAAAAAAAGAAAGAGAGAGAAGGGTATTATGGTCTTCACATGTTTTAATGTCTTGGGTTTTGTGTTTTGGGGGCTCAGAGAACAGATTCTTTATTTTTAGGGGTAAAACGCCCATTGACCAAGTCCTGGGGGTGGGAAGCATGTTCACTTGGCTTTTGGGGGCTGGAAACATTTTTCCCTTTTATTTTTCTTCTTTTCTTTACTCTTTATTTTAGTTTATCGATTAACTTATAGCCAAAATAAATTGGAAAAGTATTAAGAATTTGATAAGGGGACTTTGTGCGTAAACATGAATCATTCAGAGTTATTACATTATTGATCAAATTTTCTTTCAATCTCGGACTTGTCTGTAAAGTACTATTTCACTCCTAACCCAACGTGGGAACATAGGGACTCAATAGCTACATTAGAACACTTAATCTTGTTTTTAGTTTGTTTAACGGGGTTGTTTCTCGTTTTTCTTATATATAATAGTACATTTGGCAGCTATTAGGGTCTGTTTTGCACTGAACGAGGACTAAACCTAACCTCGTTTTAAATTTGTTTATTGATTGGCAAAAAATGGGCCAGTTCTAACTCATTTTGTTAGGCAAAAAAGAGTCTTAAAACTGATTCTTTTTTAAAGGCAAAATGGCCAGATTGGTATAATTTCTTGAGGCTTGGTGACAAGTTGGTATATTTTTTTTAAGTTTTGTCAGATTGGTATAAATTTTCAACTCCGGCGCCATATTGGCCTTAAGTTTGGCCGGAGTTACTGTTCCGGCCAGTGTTGATGGGATTTTTTGCATAAAACTCCCTTGTAAAAAACTTATCCTGCTCCTAACCCCCTCCCCCTCCTCCGCATCCTCTTCCTCCTCCTCATCCTCTTCCTCTCTCCTCTTCCTCGCTCTCTTCTTCATCTCAACCCAATCCCAGCCCTTATCGGAGTTAAGGGCTCAAATTCGGAGGATGACCGGGCAATCAGAGTCGTACGATCGATCCTTGATCTGTTCGAGAGAGGCGTAAGCCCTGACCCAGCTGATCTTCGTCGGCTCCTCTCATACCTGGGCGTAACGGATGGGGCGACTGCAATGGGGCGATCACATTCATGGAATAAGAGGAGCTACATCAGGCACGCTCTCATACACCAACCCATCACCATCAACAATTCTAATAATAATCCCATCTTCACCATTATTAACGTTTCTACTCTTGCACTCAAAATACAACACCACGCTGACTGCAATCTCAAACACCCCCACCACCGCATACACCGCTTTCTGAACTAAAGCCGGGACATACCGCTCCCCTCCAACTTCAAACGCACCAAGCAACCCCGCGACGTCTGAGATCTCAGAGAGCATGTTGATGGTCAAAACCTCAACCAAAACAAGCATAGCCACTTCCCATTTCCTCCCAGCTACTACCTCCATCGCCTTGTATATAGCCTCCAACCCGAAACACCCATCCTCAGGCGCCATTGAAATCATCAAGCTCACTGCGAAAATCATATCGAAGCACTTAAGATAGCCGCCCTCTAAGAGAGCGAGAACTGCGTCGGGGACCTCCGGAATTATTGGATCAGGGCCCGCCATGAGCATCAAAGTACTGGGTACGGACCTTACGAGAGAGGAGAAGCCTTGGTAGAAGGCTGTTGCAAAGAGTGTGGTGGTTAACGGACGTTTTAGCCCCATAAATATGATGCTTGGATTGTTGGAGAGTGAGTGGACGATCATGATTAGAATAATACAGGAAAGGATGAAGAGGGCCGTGGGTATGACGTAGGTGAACAACATGTACTCCAAGAGGGCGGCGAGTAAGATGTCAAGCTCAGAATTAGGGTCGATGGAGACGGTGGGGAAAGGGTAGGATCTGAGGAAGGAGGTGAGGGTGGAGAGGAGGATGAGGAGGAGGACGAGGACGAGGTTGAAGTACTTCTTGAAGGGGAGTTTAATGGCTTCAAGCAAGATGTTGGGGATGGCAAGGGGTTCGGGTGTCTGTGTAGATGAGGAGGGGGCTTTGATGGCTTCAAGTAAGTTTCTGGCGACGTGAAGGGCCATGGCCTTTGCGCTTGATTTGGTTGCTGATGTTGTGTTTGGTGGCTGGGATTGGGTTGAGATGAAGAAGAGAGCGAGGAAGAGGAGAGAGGAAGAGGATGAGGAGGAGGAAGATGATGAGGAGGAAGGGGAGGGGGTTAGGAGCAGGATAAGATTTTTACAAGGGAGTTTTATGCAAAAAATCCCATCAACATTGACCGGAACAGTAACTCCGGCCAAACTTAAGGCCAATATGGCGCCGGAGTTGAAAATTTATACCAATCTGACAAAACTTAAAAAAAATATACCAACTTGTCACCAAGCCTCAAGAAATTATACCAATCTGGCCATTTTGCCCTTTTTTAAACCACACCTTTCTTGGTTAAAAAAAAAAAAAAACAGTTTACCTCAAATTTGGTTAAGATCTGTCCCAACCCGATTTTGAGAGTTTTGCCCAGCACACTGTGAGTTTTCTCAG